TAGGAGTTAGTCTGAACAGCTCACTGTATTGTCACATTTGAAGCCTAAATGTAGAGCAAAACAAACAAACGTTAAAAGCAAATTCACTTAATTTTAAAATGTTTTGCCTGAGTTCAAGCAAAGAAGAGTGTTAAGAAAGAAAATAGTAGTTACAAGTGAGAACTCAATTGGAGTTGTTGTTATTGAATTAGCAAAGTGATAATAGCCCGGGTTTGTGGATTCATTTTAATTCTGGAATACTCTCACCACAGGGTGGGGTTTATTCAAAGCCTAAGCAAGAGTTTGGTGACTTGTTGGAGAGCTTGTACTTTCTCCTTTTTACTTTTAATTCTTGCTGTCTAAGTAAATTGCTCTCCCGGGACATTTGGGTGTGTTGTGCTCCCTTTACTGAAGATTTGGGGGAAGAGGTGAGGATTTACAACAAAGCCCTTGTCCTGGGCCTTGTTGCTACTGAAGTTAAACTTTTCACTTGTTAGGGCTGGCACAGTGGCATGGTGAGTTAATCCACTGCCTGAATTGCTGGCATTCCATTTGGGGGCCAGTCTGGACCCCAGCTGCTCCAATCCAGCTCCCTGTTACTGCATCTGGAGAGGCTGCGGAAGATGCCCAGCTGCTTGGCCCTGTACAGATGTGGGAGATCTAGAGGCAGCTCTGGGCTCCTGGCTCTGGCCTGGCCCAGCCCTGATGGTTACAGCCATTGGGAAGTGAACCAGTGGGATGGAGGATTTCTTCCTCTGTCTCTCCTGCTACCTGTCTGTGGCTCTGCCTTTCAAACACATAAGTAGATAAATCTTAAAAAAAAAAAACCTTTTTTGGGGTCAGCGCCATGGGATACTAAGCTAAACCTCTGCTTGAGGTGCTGAGAGATTATATGACCCCCTGTTTGTATCCCAGCTGTTTTATTTCCGACCTAGCTCCATGTGGGAGTCCTGGCTTCCAGCTGGCCCAGTTCTGGCCATTGTGGCTAGTTGGAAGTGAACCAGCAGATGGAAGACCTCTCTCTCTCTTTCTCTCTCTCTCTTTGTTTCTCTCTGTAACTGCCTTTCAAATAAAAAAATAAATCTTTAAAAACAAATGTTTTCACTTGTCAATTAGTATTCCTGTCTTATTTTTGCAGGCATTTCTTTCCCTTTTCTCTACTACATCTCTTTCTGGATATTCAACCAATCTTTTTCCATTTTAATGAAATTAATTTTTAAATTTATTTAAATGGAAAGCAATTAACAACTTTTATATTCAAGGTGTCATCAACAGCCACGTGGAGTTTTTTTGATGTTTCCACTTGCATGTTGACAGAAGCAAATGAATTAGAGAAGATAGCAGGGCTGGCTTTGTGGTGCAGCCAATTAAACCTGGCCTAGGGACACTGGCATCCCAGATCAGATGAAATGCCTATTGCAGTTCTGGCTCCAATTCCAGCTAGCACATCTAGGAAGGCAGTAGAAGGTGGCCCAGGTACTTGGACCTTTACCCTTGTGTGGGAGGGAGATCAGAATGGAATTCAGACTTAGCCAAACTTGGTGTCATTTGAGGAATGAACGAACCGATGATTCTCTCTCTCACTTTCTTTTTCTCTGCTGCTCTACCTTTCAAATAAATAAATGAATAGCTAGGTAAAAAAATAGGATCTTTTAAAGAACAATAACATATTAAAATTTCTTCTGGTAATATTCTTGGATGGCAGTCATCTTCCTTCTTTGTGTCCTGGGAGGAAGACAAGAGTGGTGCAGGCGGAAGGTGTTCTGGTGGGAGGGAGAGGGCACAGCCATCTACTCTGGCCACCCAGGGTCTGGCTCTCGGCTTCTCCAGTTCTTCACTGTGACCCAGGGCAGGTGATGTAACTGTTTCCTCAACTCAAACGTGATGATGATGTTAACTGTTTGCAAATTGTGCAAAGAGTAGACTGAAGTCACCCACACACTGTATAAAGAATAAGCCAGAATAACACTTGAACCTGATTTAGGGCAGGTAACTTACCAAGTGTTTTTTTCCCCCTTTCAATTGATAAAAACATCAAATGTTTATAGATTGCACAATTTAAGAAAATCAAAACTTGGAAAGGAGTCTCGCTCTTTTTTTTTTTTTTTTTGGTAAACCAAATAATAATATTCAGCTGTCTGCTCTGTGTATCTGTAATTGTGTGGACTGCATCAAGTCTACTTACCATGTTTACATACAATTCTCACACAGTGAGATTTAGTGGAAATTCAAGTCTCAGCTTCTTGGAAGTTGTAACTGTCAGCTTTGAATGATGGGATTGGAGCGAACCTCAGTTGCAGTGATCCCTGAGGGATTAGTCACAAGAGGACCCTTCAGCCTTGTACAGATCATGAGAATGTAAATCCTGGATCTGGCTTTTTGGTTTGAGCTGCTGGCACATGGCACAGTGAAAATGGGTGTTTCAGCAGGGGAAGGGATTTGCCATCTGCCTCCTTGCAAAGCAGAGCAGACCCTAAGTGATGGCTGTGGGCTAGGCCAACTCCAGCCACCGGCAAAGACAGTCTCTACATATCCCATGATGTCAGACTCTAAATTTGGGTGAGCCAGAGTTTAGGCTCATTGGCTAGCAACAGTCTTGTAGAGTAGAACAAGAAAGAGATTAAAAACTTCAATAAATGAGATTATTTTTCCTCCAGTCATCTGGTCGACTGTCTATAGGTCTGCCAAATCTAGTCCACAGCCTGTTTTTATACAGTCTCTAAGCTAAGAATGACTTTTGCATATTTAAATGGCTGTTTAAAAAAAGAAAAGAAAAAGATGCCAGAAAGACTATGTGTATCCCACCAAGGCTAAAATAGTTACTAACTGGCTGTCTATGGAAAAGGTTGCTGATCTCGGCCTGGAGAGTTGGAAATATCTCAGATTTATGAAAATAGAATATACTAATGACTCATTTTTGAATTCTAATCTGATTTGTGATAACCACATAATGCTGTGTCAACAAAGCCCTATGGACATTACTTAGGATAGATAGAACCCCATTCCAGTATTGAATTGTGTCTTGTTTTCTGCCCAGGGACCGGAGTCTCTTTGTTCTTCCAGAGATGACTCTTCTGTCACTTTGTCAGCACAGCTCACCTGTGTGAATTGCATCTACCGAGTTGCTCTGACATCACCTCCTGCCTTCTGCCCTTGGCCTCAAAGCCAATTCAAGGACAAGTGTTAAGGCATTTTGCACCTTATTCTGCTCCAGAGAAAGGTCTTTTAGCAGTCTGTCCCTGGTGCAGAAGGATGGGCCTTGACAAAGCGTCACTGTGGGGCTGCACTGCATAGACTGAGGCTCTCAGAAGAAGTGGAGCCTGAATTAAATCCAGAGGAGGGCTTAGGCAAAGGGGCAAAGGCATAGAGGGTCCTGCCCAGATGTATGAGAAAATTTGTCTTCCTTTGTCCAGCTTATTGTGAACTGTAACGTGCACAGAATTCCAAGTGCTGTTGACAATGAGAAATCCTTGTAGTTTATCCTTAAAAAAAAGATTTATTTATTTTTATTGGAAACTCAGATATACAGAGAGGAGGAGAGACAGAGAGGAAGATCTTCCATCTGTTGATTCCCTTCCCAAGCAGTCTCAACGGCTGGAGCTGAGCCAATCCAAAGCCAGGAGCCAGGAGCTTCTTCTGGGTCTCCCACACAGGTGCAGGGTCCCAAGGCTTTGGGCTGTCTTCAACTGCTTTCCCAGGCCACAAGCAGGGAGCTGGGTGGGAAGTGGGGAAGCTGGGATAGAACCAGCGCTCATATGGGATTCCAGCCCATATCCGGGTAAGGCAAGCACTTTAGCCGCTAGGCTACTGTATCGGGCCCTGCAGTTTATTCTGAAAATGAACAATGTGCAATGCAACGGGTGAGTGAAATGACAGTCATACAGATCACTATTATAGCCAAGGGTCACATAGTGATGATAGAATACATATGTGCCATGGTCCATTCAGATTCTGTGACCCAGGGTGGGCACAGTGGCTAGCTCACCCCTTGGGATGTGGGCGTGCCATGTTGGAGTTAAGTCTCAGCTACTCTGCTTTTGCTGCCTGCTTCCTTTGTAATGCGTGGTAGGAAGGCGGCAGGTCGTGATGGTCCACGTCCTTGGAGCCCTATCACCACCAGACCGAGTTCAAGGCTTTGGGTTTGGCCTAACGAAATAAACTCTGGCTGTTGCAGGTATTTAGGAAGTGAATCGGTGGATAGAAGAGCTCTCTAGTGGCTTTCTGCTCTTCAGATGAAATGAAAAGTTAAAATGATGTCACCTAGTTATGTTGTAGCCATTGCCTTCGTGTAAGTATATGCTGTGATGTCTGTATGAACAGGTCTGGAAATCAGTAGCAGGCAGAGCACGACGGCCCTAGCGGGAGCCTGGGGTAAAGCATTCTAACAAGGGCCTGTGGTGCAGTGTATCAGGTACAGCTGCCTGTGGCACGGGCATCCCATTAGGGCGCCGGTTCAATCCCCAACTGCTTCATTTCTGATCCGATGTCCTGCTAATGTGCTTGGGAAAGCAGCAGAGGATGGCTCTGGGGTTTGGACCTCTGCACCCGTGTGGGAGATGTGTAAGAGTCTCCTGGCTTTGGATCGGCCCAGCTCTGGGCGTTACAGCCATCCGGGGAGTGAACCGGTAGAAGTAAGATTTCACTCTATGTGTCTCTCCCTCTTGGTCACGTTACCTTTCAAGTAATTAAATAAATCTGTTTTGTAAAAGAAACATTCTAACAAGAAATAAAAGAGTGAAGAAGCAACTGAAATGACCACTTTGGGGGAACATTCTGCTCGACGCCTTTCTGTGTCTGTCCAGCCACGTGTGTGTGCTTTGTATAATCTAGGTCATTTTGTGCCTGCAATTATAGATAAACAACAACATGCTCTCTACCCTGGTTTCCGCCCCATCCCTACCCCTTCCAAGTCCTCTAGGTCACTGCTGGTCCGGTTCTAGAAGATAGGGGAATCATTGTCATTGGAAGCTTTTTTTTTTCCTTTTACTTTTAGAATGAGTCTTGTTTGTTTTTCTTTACAGCATGCCCTTGATGCTGACAACGCGGGAGTCAGCCCAATTGGAAACTCGTCCAACAACAGCAGCCACTGGGATCTGGGAAGTGCGTTTTTCTTTGCTGGAACTGTCATCACCACCATAGGTATCTATTCATTTGCTAATATCTTTGCCTCCTCTGCCCCTCCTAAGGGATGGCCCTGAGTGCTTTGTCCTGAGAGAATTCAGAGGGGCCGTTGGACCCTCACAGGAGGTTCCTCAAGTATTGCCAAGCTAATGCTGTCGGTTCTCTGTCCTGGGGTGGCTTTCCATAAAAGCCAAAGCGGGATGAAGAATCTCTTTTGCAAAGAAAACCTAGGGAGCCTTTTAGTGTGAAAAAGCTAATGAAAAGTGTGGAGTAGAAAATACGGTTTGGTGGAGCTCAAATTCCTGTTTAAGCATTATGTTTTGTATTAGTTAGGCACGAAGGGATCAAATATTCTACAGAACTTGTTATGAAAAGCAGCACTCTGCTCTATTCACTTCCCAGATAAAATCCCTTTCATCTCTTTTGATTGATGATTTTAATATTCGTTTCCATGTTTTTAAACATCATGCTTGTTATTGCTGCTTCTGGGGTTTTCAGGTTTAGAGATGACTTCTCGACTTTCACTGTGCGAGATGAGATGTTAATTTCCTTTCTTCCTGCCCGTGGCTTTGCAGAAACCCTCTCTCTTCCTATTGTCCCGTCTAGTCTAACAAAGGTTGAATGTTTCCTTTGTTTTGACTAAATCAATGCTTCTTATTCCTGACTTGTTTAATTATGACTACTTTGGTCCTGAACCAAATTTTGTCCTATTTCATTTGCACGTGGCTTTTCTCTGCTACTTGACTTATGCACTTTCGTCTTGGGGCTCACTTTTTAGTTACACAGTCTGTGACAACCTTGGTGTTCTCTCTGTTGACTATGTAATAGATCTCTGTAACAACGGATGGCATTTCCCTCTTTCCTCACCACGCGTGTTGGTAAATATCAGCTTTGCCACACTGACTTTTAGTTGATTAAATGTGCTGTGCTTCATTTAAGCGACTTGCGTGCCTTAAATGCTCTCAGGCATTCTGTAAAATGCAGTCAGCGAACTTACTCAATTCCCTTTCCTTTTTACTTTACCAATAGTTACTTTTAAAAAAAGAGATTTGCTTATTTTTATTGGAAAGGCTGATTTACACAGAGAAGGAGAGACAGAGAGAGCTTCCATCTGCTGGTTTACTCCCTAAGCAGCTGTAATGGATAGAGCTGAGCCAGTCTGTACTCAGGAGCCAGGAGCTGCTTCCTGGTCTCCCACATGGGTGCAGGGTCTCAAGGCCGTGGGCCATCCTTGACTGCTTTCCCAGGCCACAAGCAGGGAGCTGGAAGTGGTGCAGCTGGCTCCCATATGGGTGAGGACTTTAAGGGCTAGGCTACGGGTGCTGAGCCCAACAGTTACGTTTTGTATCCTTTCAAGGAGAGCACAGAGGTATGCCTTGGGTATTCTGGGCTGTTTCCTTGCTACTTGCACTTGCCTCACTGGTAGCCCTGACTTTGATCAATATTCAGCTCCAGTCCTTTTGCTGTGGTTCTCATCATCACTTGCTTATTAAGTGGCTCAGGGGGGCAATATTCCTTAATTCTTGTGTTGTTCCACATGGTAGGCTTCTGCTGCAAGTCATTTATAAAAGGGAAAAGAGAATCCAGCTGGAAATGAAATCCATTTAATTGACTCACTTTTTTTTTTGTTTTTAATGAGGCTTGCAGGTACCACTGCCCTGTCTTCTGGCATTTATGCTGCTGTTAAATACCCCATGGCAGTCTATTTTGTTTTTCCGTTTATAAGTGTTTTGATCTTGAGAGCAGCTCCTGTGTGTCATCTTCTATCTGATAATGTCACCAGCTCCTATCTTTTTCATAGCAGGAACGTTTTGGTCATTATCTTGAAGTATTTTCTCAGCTTTGTGATTTTGTTTTTTAAGGAATTGCAATGCAATCTAACTTCTTTTTTTCCATTAATTGTTTTTATTTTCTGATGATTTTTATGTAGTTAATCAGGGCGATAAGGGTTTAGGGATACAGGAAGATGAATGAGACCAGCATTTCCATATTCTCTTTTTTTTTTCCTTCCTGTATCTGGGGGAAGGGGAGCTATAAGGAGAGAAGCCACACCCAGCCTCCCAAATGCCTCTGCACCCTGGGTCTAGCCACCTGACACCACCCCAGGGTCCCCGATGTGGGACATGCTTAAGAGGTTTCGATAGTTCAACGGTTCTGAATTACTGCTGACCTCGCTACTCCAAGCACGATGAAATCTCTCCAGAATCCACTGGTTGACATAATCCACCTTAGAGTCTCCATTTGCCCAGCTATTCACTGCCAACACTTGGCTGGGGTCGTTGATAAATTTGTGTTGTGGTACCAGGTGTCTGTCCTCTGCAGACTCTATGTCCTCCTTGTACATCTGGACATGCTGTCCACTGCTCTGTCTTATCCATTGAGGAGGCCCAGCTCTGATATTTGCAGTCCATGGTCAGATCATAGAACCTGCAATTCTCTCCATGGCTGGGGTTCTGAGTCCAGCAGCAATCTAACTTTTTGCATAAGTTTTATGTCTCAGGTATTTTTTTTAAAGACTTATTTATTTTTATTGCAAAGTCAGATATACAGAGAGGAGGAGAGACAGAGAGGAAGCTCTTCTGTCCATTGATTTACTCTCCAAGTGGCTGCAGCAGCTGGAATTGTGCCAATCCAAAGCCAGGAGCTCTTCCTGGTCTCCCACATGGGTGCAGGTTCCCAAGGCTTTGGGCCGTCCTCGACTGCTTTCCCAGGCCACAAGCAGGGAGCTGGATGGGAAGTGGAGGTGCCGGAATTAGAACTGGTGCCCATATGGGACCCTGGCACATTCAAGGTGAGAACTTTAGGCGCTAGGCCACTGCACCAGGCCTTATGTCACAGTTTTTTTTTTTTTTTTAAATAGTTATGTTATTGTGTTTGAAAGGCAGATTTTTTACATAGAGATAAGGAGAGACAGAGAGAAAGATTGCATCCATTGGTTCACTCCCCAAGTGGAGCAATAGCTAGAGCTGAACTAATCTGAAGCTGAAAGTGAAAAGTCTCTTCCTGGCCTCCCATGTGGATCTTGAGGCCCAAGGCCCTGCTTTTCCAGCAGATTGAAGGTGGAGCAGCTGGGACATGAACTGATGTCTGTATGAGATGCTGGTAGTGCAGGATTAGCTTACTATGCCACTGTGCTGGCTCTCTGCCTCAGTTTTATGTCATTTCCCTTCTACTTCTTGTAATTTTAAAGGTCTAGTTTGCATTATGTTAAGTATCCTTTTCTTTTTGGATAGGTGTGTGTCCTCCCACAATGCTTACTGTGCCTTGTGTTCCTTCTAATTGTTTTTCAAGATTTATTTATTTTTATTGGAGCATCAGATACAGAGAGGAGGAGAGACAGAGAGGGAGATCTTCTGTGTGCTGATTCACCCCGCAAGTGACTGTGAAAGCTGGACCAGATCAGGAGGCTCTTTCTGGTCTCCCATGTGGATGCAGGGTCTCAAGGTTTTGGGTCATCGTTGACTGCTTTCCCAGGGAGCTGGATGGGAAGCGGGGCAGCTGGGATTAGAACCGGCATCGTTATGTGATCCCGGCACACACAAGATGAGGACTTTAATCAGTAGGCTCTCATGCCAGGCCCACTGCTTCTAATTTTATTGTCATGTTTCTGATCAGTAATAGATTTCTTCTTGTCTTCCTGAATTTCCTAGGTCATATCTGATCTTCACTCGTCTTGCTATTTCTTCTCTCAATTCTTGCATTTCTGCTCTGTAGTTTGTGGAGATCATTAGAAGGAATTATTTCATAGTTGTAATTTTTTTTTCTTTGCCATTTTGGGAAGCATTTGTCTAGTGAATGTCTGATCCACTGGTAAGCTTAGCTACTCTTCCCATTTTTTTTTCCTTACGGAGGCTTTCTGTTTATGCTCGACTAGCTTCTTTGAAAAAATACTTTGCTCCTACAGAAGCTGGCTATTTCTGGGCTAGCTCTCTGACAAATGTTTCTGTGGGGAGAGGAGAGCAGGTGAGGCAGGGTAACCTTCCAATTAGCACACCCCAAGACTCTTCGTTTATGCTGCCAAGGAGACAGAGGTCACTGTGCCAGTGTGGCCCACTGTGTCATTCCCTGCTGTGTCGTGCCTCTTCTGTTTTCTAAAGGCCATCAATTCGGGTGGCCTCTGCTGCTGTCCCTTTTCATTCTGTATTCTACACCTGCTGCATTAAGGACATCTCTTCAAATTTGTCCTCCCCTGGACTCCGTTTTACTGTGTGGCTTTTGCCTAATCTCGCTTTGTTTTCCTGGTCTTACACACAGGCTGGAATCTACACATTAGCTTCCTAGTCTGCGGCAGATGAGCTTGAGGTTTCTTTCCTGCCAGACCAGAATGAAACAGCCCTGGGTTGAACATTCTTGTTCAGGATTGCCTGTCTGTAGTCATGGTAGGCAGGAGGGGAGTGAGATGTTGTCACTCAGGCTGGACAAAGGCTCTCTGTCTCAGGTCCAGCTCTGCCCTCTGGGAGAGGTTTTCTCTGATGGACAGCTAAGATAGGGAGTGGGAAACCTTTTTCTGCCAAAGACCATCTGAATATTTATAATGAATATTATAATATTTATATCATTCACAGGCCATGCAAAATGATTAACTTAAAGATTAGCTTGCCATAGATTTATTGTGTTTTGAGTCCCACTTGTGGTTACCTTGGCAGGACCAGATCAAATGAATTTGTGAGCCTTACATAACCAACCCATGAACCGGATATTCTCCTCACTGACCCTGGCTTAAAGAATAAACTTTCTGGGCCCGACGTGATAGCGCAGTGGTTAAGGTCCTCGCCTTGTATGTGCCTGGATCCCATATGGGTGCTGGTTCTAATCTGAGCAGCCCTGCTTCTGATCTAGCTCCCTGCTTGTGGCCTGGGAAAGCAGTCGAGGACAGCCCAAAGCCTTGGGACCTGCATCTGCACGGGAGACCAGGAAGAAGCTCCTGGCTCCTGGCTTCGGGTTGGCTAAACTCCAGCTGTTGCGGCTGCTTGGGGAGTGAATCAACAGACAGAAGATCTTCCTCTCTGTCTCTGCCC